AGAGCGCTCGAATTATTCAAGTTTTATAATGGGCTCCTTATGAGGATCGACTTTGTTCGGTTGATGACGTCATTCCCTTAAAAGCCATTGTGGAAACGATTCAATTTAATCTGAGGCGATTTGGTGCACGAGTTTTGGTGAACAAAGGAATAGGTTAAGGCCTGTGTCCATCGTTGATCGCAAATAAATTGTCTCAGGGTGATTTTTCATTCCGACAGGTCGTTTGCCGACCATCCGCCGTTCAGAAATCACTTAATCCTTACATGGATTCGTATTAGCTCGACTCGACCAGGAAGAAATTCTTTTCCTGATGGGGTGGGCTTAACCGGGTTCTCTTTTTTTCCTTTTTTTTTTCCCCCTCCTCTCCTGATTAATGACGGGGATAAAGGACGGGGGTAAACGAAAACCTTTGGGACTCTAAGACTCCTTTTGCATTTGAAAGCCACAAGATTCGTCCCTTTTCGGATGGGAGTCCGACTCCTCGAGCAAAATGTCCCTCGATTCGATCCTCATCCATGGGAACGAGAGAAAGACTTAATTGCTTGCGAGTTGTTGATCCACGGTACACATGAAAGAAGGGACGTCGGGTCGAAGGAACATCGACCGAGTAACCCAGCTCGACCACTAAAAGCAATAACTTCAAACACGATGAGAACATCGGCCTAAAAGCGCCTCGGTATGCAACACGCTGCCTGGGCTGATGGATAACGATCAGCCAAGCCAGGGCCATCGGTCGTTAGGAGGCCCTGAGTATTCCTTATCTCAAAAGTATTCTAAGGACCCCCTTCATCATCCCCCTCCTCGAGCGAACGCGCTTGCCGATTGGTCAGTTTCGCCTCTAAGCTCCGCCCCTCCGGTAAATGTTGTCCGTTCCGTCGTTATCAACACCAGTATGTGGTCAGCTGAGCCAGTCTTCGTGAAAGAGCCGAGGTGTGTGCAAGGCGTGAGCTCTGTGTCCAGCGCGAAGCCTCTCGCGAGATCGCTCTTTCCCGTCCCTCGTTCGCTCGCAATTTTCCAGGTGAGAGTTGCAAAAGTTTGTTTTGGGGTCGCGAGGCATCGATCGACGGGGGATTTCGTTAGCGTGACCGAGAAGCGAAGGGAAACGGCTGGCGTAAGTGAGAGGAAATGAGGCCAAGAACGAAATTAACTTTAGCACGTCATAAACTACGCTATAGTACATTCCTCGAGCGGAGTCGCTAAACATGCCAAATGAGTTTCCGACCCTAATCGACCGCGGAGTGTCAAACAAACGTGAGAAATGCAGCAGCCGGGAGCCCGCCGGAGACTGACGGGAGTCGCATTTTTTGTGCGCGGTACTCTGCAGAGGGTGAAAGTGATGGATTCGCCGGATCTTGGTTCGATTCCAGATCCGTATGTCCCGATGGACTGATTTTGGCACGTGTCTATCTGCTTCCATGGTCCCCTGCCTCTCATCCGAGGGGAAGAGATTTCTCTTCCAGCTTAACCGGGACCAGGTTCCCATTCTGAGAAGAGACGCTTTCTAGCTGGGATCCGGTGAAAGGCGTACTTCTTTTTGGAGGGCACGAACGCGCGTGATGGCTTCTAAGAAAGTGCCGTGACTCACCGCGATCGAAAGAGGGGGGAAACCCTTTGTCGGGAATGTCCGAAGGGACACGGATCGCGTGCCCCCCCGCGCATCACCGAACCGAAAGGTACTGCATCTCGTTAAAGGCCCGTCGGATGATCGATTTCAAGGTCGGCCCTTCGCAGACGAGCATATTTTGTCTTGCAATCGAATTTGCTCGCGCCCCCAAAGGGGCAATTGCCCCAACGGAATTGCCCCCACGCAGAAGGCTCCGAGCGAGCGATGAGTTAGGGCCGCCGTTCGATGGCCTAGAGGAATGAGACGTGCCTCATCGTGATTGACAGGAGCCAGGCCGATAAATCCACGGAAATGTAAGACTCGTTTCTTTAATGGTACGTGGAATGTCGATCGGATGGATGATAGGCCGTCGGATCGCGTTACATCTAACTTGTTCGATTCTATACGACTCCATTCGAAGCGGACAATAGTCGGACGACGATTGTTCGCGTCCTGCGCGATCGAGATCGACCGTCGACGCGACAAAAGCCGATGGACTATTGAGAATCCATGAGAAAAATATTGGAGAATTTGCCTGTCTCCGACCATCGATTCCCACTGCCCCCGATGCATGAGCGATGGTGCGAGCAGATGAATGGCTGCGATGCCCGTATCGATTTCCCAGAAACCCCCAAGGAATGGCGCAACGAACGCCTGAATGGACGCAATTGAGTTCCCGCTGATCGGACCATGACGCAAATCCTCAAGGGAATTAGCGGAAGTGATCGGGAGTCATCACTGGACGACATGCGGCGTCGTCCTTGTATTTGCAGGGTTGTTTCGCCAAAAACGCTCCTCGCGGAAATTCGCACAAAGAGCTGAGAGGATTTGGAGTGCTGCTTCGCGAAATTTACTACTCGGGCAAACTCTACTTGAAACGCAGGGCGGGAGGTGTTTTGATTTGGAGAAAAGGGGGTGTGCGTGATCCTGTATTACCCTTTGCTGCATCGTTTTTTTTTTCTTCCTTGATCCCTATCGTTCCGGGATCCATAGCCCAAGGCCTGGCCGCCTCCCTTTCTTCGTCGTGTCGTCAGATCTGGGTTCAGTCAGTCCCCTCCCTTTGTTCTCGACGCGAAAGAGCCCTTCCATTGTGCGGGTGCGTCGGGGTGTTTTGTTCTTCGAATCACGTCCTCGTTTCGCGTCCCCACCGACCGGTCGGTTGCCAGCTGACTCCGAAGGGGGGGGAAAAAGCGAGGAGTGTTTTTTGGCCTTTTGCCACCGCTTCTTCCCCTGTTTATTGACCCTGGTCTCGTGCGAAAGAAGCCACCGAGTACGTCTAAAAAACGCGATCGAACGACCCATCGAGTGTTACCCAAACGTAACCATGACGACCGCACGTGTGATCGCAGGTGAGGGAGGAGAAAGAACAAGGAGAAACAAGGTCGTTCTCTCCTGTGGATGCTGGTGGCCCGTGACAATGGTCGGTTGGGAGATGGAGGGATCGTCGTTGGAGGATGGCTGCAACGGCCGAAGCCGTCGACGTCCCAGCGTCGAGGACCCAGGGGACGCCGAGGTCTCTCTCGAACCCTTCGACTTCCAGGTTCGGCTTCTCCCTCCGTTCCTCGAAACCCCCGGGAGTTCCTGGTTCGAAACCCCCGGGAGTTCCTGGTTCGGCTCCTTCCCGCTCGCCTTCGGAGTGGAATCGGAATCGATCCCGCACGCCTCGAGTGTGCCGTAGCTCGGCCGCATTCCTTTTTTTTTTTCGTCTGCGTGCATCTCAGTCATGGTTTTGTGTGTTGACCTTGGCTTGCTTCATTTACAGGCATTCTTTGATATTTCATTTATTTTTTTTTTTGCATTCGTTATTAACACGGAATTGTCAGTATTTTTGGTTGTTCCTATTGTGCCCAATGCCAATTATTTTCCGTGTTTCTTTCATATTGTCACTGCATTCATATTCACGTCAGTTCGATTGCAGTTTCAAACTTTTTTCTCTTTTTTTTTCTTCCCTTTTGTTTCGTACCTTTTTTTAGAGCAGGCAAGGTGCAGATGGAGCTGTAGTTGGTCGGATCATGGCACAACTCTGCACCTTTGTAGGCCTGCAGTGTTGCTCGCCCTTCTGTGACTAGTAAATGGCATGCCAATCCATGGAAACCCCTTCCATGACCTCGCAGGCAACAGACGAGGTCGACAGCGTTGATCTGAATTTTTCGTTCTCGTTCTTTAAAGGTCGGAGGCCACACGAGGCTGTTCGTGCTGGACAGATGGACGCTCTGCAAACCGCTGAATACGCGAGAGTTGAACTTCTACATGAACGCCCCGACGGAAATCCTTCAATTCGCCCCTAGGTTCAAAGGTCAGCCTCTCCCGTTTCCCCCCCGTGATTCACTTTCAAAGGCCTCGTGAATGCATCTGGGAATCGATGAGCTCGTCGGTGATTCGTTTGTGGAAGTTTGATTGCATTTCGTTGCGAAGGCTTTCGTTTGCAGGGAGCAAAAAGCAGGTGAACTTGTTACTTCGGTCTGTTCTTGCATTAGTTCGGATGAATGGGGAAGGACGCTAGGAAGTTTCTGTGATTGAAAGAATGAAAGAGAGCGAGAGAGAGAGAGCCTGGGGAGAGCAATAGTGTTGATTTCCAGGGCAAGGTTTTAGGTCTCGGTTTGCTGAGGAGGCAATCCAGAGAAGGGGGAAAGGGAAGGGGATCCCACGAAAAAACGATATAGGCCCATCCGTGATTGTGATGTGAAAGATGTGCGAGACCCGTGTGAGTTTCGTGTCGAACGTGCATGCCCCAAGACGTTCCTCACCGATTCCCCGGAACGCTGAAAAAATACATATATTATTATCGTTTCAGGGGTGATCCAGTGCGACGAAGAGCCGTCGGGGAGCGGCGAGGAAGAAACCAGCAGATCCATCTCGAAGCAGAGGAGAGAAAAACTCAGGTGAGCATTCAACACAATTCTCAACACAATTCTCAACACAATTCTCAACACAATTCTCAACACAATTCTCAACACAGTGTTCAACGCAGTATTCCAAGGGTCAGAGGAGACGTTCCGTGGGAAACGGTTTTTTTTGTTTCCCCCATCAGTTGAGGGGGATTATGTCCCCGTTTCCTTATCGTTTGTTTATGTATGATGGAGTCGCAAACACTGACTGGCAAGATAAACCAGATGGGCCCCTCGTGTCGTTGACTTCAAGGACCACTTGTAAAGGTCTCGAGAGAATGAACAGCGCTTGAAGAGTTGTTATCTCGTGCCGTATCGGTGGCCGTACCATCTGCATCAGATCTTGCCATGAAAGGCCTTTATTTTTATTATATTATATTATATTATATTATTATTCGCAGGGCCCGCGTGTGCATCAGCCGCCGGTCGAGTCTCTCGAACTCCGACGATGGGTCGAGGAAGCCGCTGCACGTCTTCGAGGACTTCCCCGCGAAGACTCGAAGAAAAAATTGTATCCTTTTACCGTCTTTCCCGACGCGAACGAATTCGAGAGGGGAAGAAAAATGACGCCGTAGGAAGATCCAATTTCAATTTTTTTTTGTGCAATATTTATGCATTCGTTTCGACGCGAATCTACGAGTCACAAAGACCGAGAATTATTTCCGCCATCGGCAGATGCCGAAGCATCGGTTGCAATCGAGACGTTTTGTTTCCCTTCGGAATTCCTCCTTGACTCGAGCGCGTGATGGGAACAGATTTCCTGCTGATGGAGAACATCACGGGGCAATTTTTCCGTCCGTGCGTCTTGGACCTGAAGATGGGGACGCGCCAGCACGGTGACGACGCGTCGGACGAGAAGCGGCACCGCCAGATCGCGAAGTGCGCCAAGTCGACGTCCTCCACCCTCGGCGTCCGCCTCTGCGGCATGCAGGTACCAGTCTCGGTATCGGAACCAGTACCAGTACCGTCGCGATGTTAGCCGACCGGGAACGGTCGGGCTCGACGGGGCCCCGGGCGCACGTGACGACGGGTGCGGACGTGCGGTCGCGAGCGCACTCGATCGAGGACGAACGCCGATGCGTACGTCGGTGAGATTTCCCATCGGTTAAATTTGGAGTCCCCATCGGCTGGGTCGTACTCCGTGAACTCTCGTCCGTCCGCCTTCGACCCCGACCGCCTCGATCGAACCCGTTCGCCACTTATGGGGGGCAGCGGGGCAAAGAACGCGCGGTGGGAGGTCCGCGCACGCCGACTCGTCCTCGAAGCGATGCATATCGAGCCGCGGTGGAGCCGACCCGTCTATCGTCGGGGGGTTTCGCCGCTTCCTATTATTGCCTATTAACCGCCCGCGCCTCGTTGCGGCGAGCCGCCGGAAAGGGATCGATCGCGGACCACCTCTCGAGTCGGACTCGTTCGATGGGCCGTAAAAGGTTTATTAGGTTGTGAGAGGCAACTCGCGTGTTCTAAAGATGGGGGAGAAGGGTCATAAATGCCCATTTCTTGATGGAACTCCTGCGAAATGGGTTTATTGACAGGAAAATGCGCCCGTCTGTCGGGCTCTAATTTTTAAATGAAATTTATGAGCGAATAAACCGAGATCGACGATGAGGACAGTTTAAGGAACGTGCCAGAGTCTGGTGATGACGTCACGGGCGTGGGAACCACGCCGACGTCACGATCCGTGATGTCATGCCCAGCCGCTCCGATCTGCGAACAGGGCCTGGCCTTGATCGTGTTTTCCGTAACTCGACACCATATTGAGCGGAATCGACCGAGCCTGATATGGCATTCTGTTGACGACAGTCGGATCGGATGGAAAGCCATCTCGAATGATCGATTTGGCATGGGGCGGTGGGTCGGCCTGCAGTTTTTTTGGCTGTACCCTTTGAGTAACCTTTTTTTCTTAACCTTTCATGTGGAAATGTAAGTTTTCCTCGAAGAGAACGTCAATACTTGCGTGTCACTTGCATGCGGCAAGATTGTAAATAGAGAGAGAGTGGTTTCTTTTGAGACTTGGGAAAGTATGATGGAAGAAAAACATTTCGAGAGCAAGTCTTTTTCCCGGGTAAAGCGATTCCTCTCGAGCCGACGACTAACGCCAGCACTCCCCCCAGGTGTACCAGGCGGACACGGACCAGTACATCGTGAAAGACAAGTACTACGGCCGGGGACTGGACGAGGACGGGTTTCGCGCCGCCCTGTGGCAATTCTTCCACAACGGGTTCCAGGTCCGCCTCGCCGCCATCCACCACCTCATCCAGCGCCTCCAGTCCCTCCGCCACGCCATTCAGAAGCAGAACTCCTTCCGCTTCTATTCCAGGTAGCTGCGCCCTTTCGTGACCTACATTCCGCGTTTGGTCGGCGACCTACCGCCTATGTCCAGGAGTGAATAAAAGATGGGCGGTTCGGCTTATCTTGGGGCGGATGGAACACGCTCTTGCCTCCTGGCAACAGGTGGAGCAGATGAATAATTGAGAGATGTCTTAGGCTGTCGTGCCCCGCCCGAAGTGATGTATCGTGGTGATTAAGGCCTGAAGGCTAGATGTATTATTGATTCTCGAGGACCGATGCATCTGTCGAGTCACATTTCTCACCCATCTAAGTACTAGGAGTGTAAACACGTGGCGAGATAGATAAGTCCAGTTTCGTTCGTCCCATCGGAAGCAGCCATTTGTAGGTACGCAGCGAGCCAGAATCATCTGTTTTCCCTCTCTTCTTTACCTTATCTTTCAGGCTGCCATAAACATTTCCTGGAGTAGAACTTTCGAGAGTTAAAGTGCTTTGTAAGAACATCGCATAGAGTGTTATGCATCACGAGTCCAGCTCGAAACGGGCCCTGAGATACCTACGCTTTGAAATCCATGCATTATACAAAGTATGAAAAGATCATCTGGGAAGGCCGTCGTGTCGTGCGCACGAAACCCTTCCACGGAAACATTTCCCAGCTGACGTTGACGAAGTTCACCCTTTCTTCAAAGAATATTGTAATTGTATGCGCGACTGCGACACCATCTTTAGAAGTTGCTCCATGATCTTTTCTGCATCGAAGCGTTCAGTGTGAAAGGAGACCGTCCGAAATATCCATAGATATTCGTGGTCGTGTTGCATTATTCAGTAGTCCCATGCAGTTCGTGAATGTGATGTCATGCAGCCTCCACGTTCATCTACATGATGCTCCAGAGGAGCATCATGTAGATGAATGAGGAGCATATGTGACGCGAAATGGGACATTTCGCCACACGTGCAAGGAAATGCACGAGTTTAATTTCGCGAGATGAGGTGCCTCTCGGCTTTCATTTTTAATCGACTTGATCGACGCGTGCCCTGAATGGAGAGACTTTCACGGAAGGAAATGATAAATTGAAGTCGTAATGGCTGTAACGGGCGTTTAATGAGTCTCCCCTCCCATTTCTTCAGACGAAACTTCCTAGTCGGTCTGTCCTTAACGATCCAGAACACGAGATCTCATGATCTCGTGGATCTGCCAAGAAAAACAGCAGCAAAGATCCCCGCCTCGTGAGGTCATTCGAGTGAGAGAAGAAAGATAAAAAGCGGTCAGGGTTGAAAGAGATTTCCTCTCAGCGTGTCTCAAACCCAGCCACATGTTGACGGTGCAGCGAGATGGAAAACAATCCTGTCAATTATCGGAAGCTCCATCGCATTCACCCCCTAGGATTTTCTCCCTTGGTGACATTGTTTTCAAAACGGAGAGAAAAAGCTGACAGCAGTAGGCATGGGGATTTAAAAACCCACGTCTCTTTTTGACCTTGCAAGTGTAGGTTGCCCGCGTGTTTTTGTTCGGAACCCTGAATAGACAGCTGTGACATCCCTGTCCCCCTGGGTAACAGGTGAGCAGGGTTGCCCGCTTTAACGTCTTCCTCATCCGCGATGACGCCATCCCCGGACAGACGGGAGAGCTGCCGCTGTAAAATGTGCTGAAGGAGTGTCCTTCAGCGCTTCGTCTGAGTGACCATCCGTGAGGAAACGGGGGGAAATGGGTGGGCTGAGAGAAAATGCAATAATGGTGGGGAAATTGCATGCCCATTGGGGGGCCCAAAGGACAACAGGGGCCAATTTCCTCCAAGATGGGGGGGGGAAAGCGTCTGCAATTTTACGCTGTTTAGCGACGATTTTTTTTAAAGATTTTTGAAAGCTCGAAAGTCTATTGTTAGAGAAATTAGGGGGACTGTTAACATTATAATCCCAGAAAGTGTCTGAACGAAGTTCTTGAATGCCAGCTTAACCCTCCTCACTTTTCAACTGGAAGCATCTGGCCTTCTGACTGGCAGTGCTGATCAGTTTACTCGAGGGAGGATTCTTGATCGGGCTGTGATTTCTCAGCTGGTCTAAGGAGCGTGCTTGATTTGGTCTTCTGCGAAGGTCGTGATCTCAACAAAACGATGTCTACTGCGTTTCGAAGTCGTCGAGGGTGCACGGCTTAGAGTTGGAATCGGAATTGAGGTCAACTTTGGAGAATTCCAATGCTGTACTTACGAAATCATCCCGAAGTAATTGAATTTCCTTCGGAAGGCTCCATCTCTATCAGGGTGGTGAAACTCAATTAAGCTGAGGGTCGGATGGAACCCTTCAGCGGTGATTGTGGATCACACTAATGAATCTTAAACCAATTTTTTTGTTGCAAACAGGTTAAATTTGCAAAACTTTTCCAAACAATCTATTAAAGAGGACTTAGTAGGCCGTCAAATCGGCACTCAGGAAATATCCCAATCGGATATTTCCTGTCAAGAATACGAGTATTCTTGACAGGAAATATCAATCAACTTTTTGCTCCTCTGAGCTCTCCAGCTCTTTTCTAAATAATTTATTTGACGGTTCCGTCGATCATGGAGTCACATCTATAGGAGGATATTGAGGAGTTTTTGAAAGTAGAGATCGTGGTATTTTGGCCTGAAATACATGAATCGAGAATTTAGGACGAGAATAGCACGGAATGTTTTCTTCCTTTCCAGTTCATTATTGGTGGTGTACGAAGGGTGCGAGGAGACGGAGGAGTTCGAGCCCCACGTTTCCCACTCGACAGAAGAGGAGGAACCACAAGCCTCCTGCTCCTCCTCGACCGGGGACCCGTGTGCGGAGACTCCGGAATCCCCCCCGACGGGGGAAATAGAGACGGGGAAGGGTCGTGGGGATCGAGGCGTGCTCGGTGAGGATAGAGGCGTGCTGGGGAAGGCGATGGTCGACGTCCGCGTGATCGACTTCGCTCACACGACCTTCGACGGGTGTGACGAGCCCGCGGGCTCCCCCGTTCACCGCGGTCCGGACCGCGGGTTCCTTCAAGGCATCGATTCACTTCTCAGGCTCATTATTATTATTATTATTATTATTTTACGAAATTGGGTTAGAAAATCATGCATCGCCGGAAAGATTTTAAGATCCCCTTTCTAACGCCACCGTTCTTGATATCATTGGCCCTCCGCCACATTGAAAAATATTCGACCGAAAATGACCAAATATAAAAAAATTCAAAATGTAAGGGGAATTTTTCTGTGTAGTCGACGAAAATAAAAAAGTAACTTGTTATACCTCAGAGAGGAATAAAACAAACCTAACGAGAGATTTGTCTTTCCTCGAATTTGACGTGATTACGGAACAGAAATAGCCTCCCCAGAAGGAGGTCTGAGAATTTGATGATGAATTGCGGATTTATGGTGACATTCGGGAAAACTTTCCTTGGGAAGGTGAGGGACCCGTGCTCGTCCTTAAGATCTTTCTCCGTTCCCCCGATTTCCAGATGAATGCCTGGAAATAATTAAATGTAGTAATGTGAAAACAATTTTTCAATGGCTGTATCTATCTTCAACCCCACCTCCTTTTTAACGGAGCTCACTAACGTTAGGCCTAGGCCTAACCGACGTCCAAAAGAAATGCTATCCTCGACCTACTGGGCCACTTAGGCCGATAAGGATTAATCCCTGGTCGTTCAGAAACCTCGTCGAGGACGTGTAGCGTTAGGCCAATCGCAGGCCTATTCAGTATCACATGGCTCTTTTAAGAGAGTAAGTATAACGTTGACCGGTCTGTTTCGAGTTTCGTGAACCATTTCGGTGCGGACGAGAAACGTTAGGCCTATCTAGAGTTCCTGGAGCCGTCTCGACGGGTTCTGAGAAGAAAATGCTTCTAGGAAGCATGGAAAGCAACGTGGGCGCCATTCTGTTAAATTTACGGTTGTCCGGATGAGATGTCCCCACGTCCCACCGAATCGATTGGCCACTGCTAGCCATCATTTCAATCTCGGCTCTTCTCGTGAATTCGACGCAAAATTATCTTTTGCATTGAAAAACAGAAGATCCAGTCGCGATACTAAGGCCGAAGAGGTCATGAATCTGGCATGACTAAGGGACGAGATCCGGCAACACTGGAGGCCGAGGCCGGAGCCATCGCGCTAAGCCTAAATTAACGGCATCTTACTTATTTATTTATTTTTTTAATGGCAAAATGGTGCGCTGGAAGCGACAAAAAGGACACTCTTTGTCGCCTACAAGTCAATATCTTTCGCTTGTTAGGTCTCATTATTCCGAAAACTTCCCAGGAGGGACCGGAAGGCTGAAACCGACCTCCGTCCGCGTCGATCAGTCTCCTTCGCCCGATTCGCCGGTTTCGAGATGGATGCAGATGGCACGCTCCGCCTGCATCCATTCGTGCCGTCTGCATCCATTCGTGCCGTCTGCATCCATTCGTGCCGTCTGCATCCATTTGAACTCCGCCGAAACTGAACTCTCGGAAGATTCGATGCGATTCGCTGGATAAGTTCCAACTCTTCCTCGTGAATTCGTGCGGGAGAAAGCTTCGGGACTTTTCCGAAGTGGGACCGAGAGCGTGGAATCCGACTGAGAAATCCTCCCAATTGGAACCTAAACCCTTTCGGTTCCAAATTAAAAAAAAAATAATGCAAAAATAAATTTTCCTCAATGAACCGTCCATAAAGAAAAGTAATTTCCCAGGAAGAAATGCAAAATTCCAAAATTAGGTAACGGGAAAAGTCCCGCTAGGCTTCAGGGCCATACAGCCCTGGAAAAAATATGGGAAAAAATAGTTTTTAAATCTCGTCTGGACAGAAAAGGCTTAGACAAGCTGCGGTATTCGAATCGTTCATGATTTTATGTCGAATTGATGAATAAGCTTTGGTAGCGCCTATTACCTTTCTTGAAGGCAAAATTCAACATCCTCATATTCCTCTCTGAGAGCAACAACAGGAACGAAATTTGGCATACTTCTTCCTCTCTCACCACAGAACTGCTCCAGCAAGTTTGAAGCTCCATCTCCCCGGGCTTGTGGAGAACACTGAATCTCGCATTTGGAGGATATGAATTTCATTACTTTTTTTTTTTTCCTCCCCTGGGAAAACTCCAAGGGGGTTTTCGGAGGAAAGAGGCCAACCATGAGAAAGATATTGACTCGTAGATGACGAAAAGTGGCCTTTTTTGTTGCTTGCGATGCACCATTTCGCTATAATAAAAAAAAAATGAAATTAGCTGTCGTTCAATTAGGCTTAGAGGGCTTGCTCCGGTAAAGTCCCCCAGTGTTGCCGGATACCTTGCCGAAATTAAGCCAGATTCAAGACTTTCAACTTTCGTATTGGCGTCTGGATCTTCTGTTTTTAATGCATGAGACATTTTTGTGCTGAGTTCATGAGTTGAGCTGAGAATGAAGCGTTGGTTAGCAGTTATCGATCGATGTGGTGGGATATGCAGATATCTTACTCGGACATCCCTGATTTAACAGGATGGCGCGCACCATGGATTGCATGCTCCTTGAAGGCATTCTCTCCTCAGACCTATTCGAGATGGTTCGAGGAACTCCTGACAGGCCTAACGTTACACGTCCTCTGAAATGGTTCGTGAACGTATGAATAGGCCAGCGATCGTCCTAACGTTACACGTCCTCAACCAGATGTCTCGAAGACCACGATTCACCCCTATAGGCCTAATTGGCTCCGTAAGTCGAGAATTGAGTTTCTTTTTAAAATAAAAAGGTAGGCCTCGGCGTGACCTGAAGGCAGTCTGTTGGTTAGGCCTAGGCCTAACTTTATGCCTAAATAATTGACTTTTTCCAGTAAGTGGGAGAATGATCATCGAAATTTGTAGAATTACGTTTCGATGTGGCAGGTTTAAGGCACTGTTTCGATTCCCGCTCATTTTGAAGCAGATTTTTCTGGCTCGAAGCAGCTCGACTTGGAGTCGAAAAGCTCGCTTTGCCAAAATTTTGCAAGTTTGAAGATTTCTCTAAGTGGATCGTATGGACAGTTCGTATTTCAGATGCAATGTCCATACTGCAAACTTGTCTTAATATGGACACTACTCCATCCATACTTTAAACTTGTTAAGATTTTTTAGTTAATAAAACTTAAAAAGCAGCTAAAACCACCGTTTTCTTCGAGCCAGAGTAGCATGCCACACTCACATAGCATCAATTGGTACTTTGGCTTAAGGTGGCTGTAGCCATTTGCTGCAGAACCACAAATGCTTGTATACTTCATATATTTGTCCATATTTCCATATGTCCACAGACCATATGTCCATATTTTGCTAATTTCAAAGATGGCAACCCTAATAGAATCAGATGTGTGCTGACTTTCTCGTTAGAATTTGGAGGTTCTGTCAGAATGTAAAAAAAAAAAAATGGAAGCAGTGATCCCTCGCCGACCGCGGTTGGTAAAACCCATGGCTTATTCAATGGGTCTTGGAGCTATTTTTATTTGTTGTAAGTACATTTACAAGAAAAAAAAAAAATCCAGCAGAAAACTTCACTTCAGGTGTTCGATACAAATTTGAAGCCTTTTCAGCACGCTCGGGAACGAACGGTGGAAAAGAAGAAAAAAAGTTCCAGTTGCAATTTCTACTCTCATCGCGGGAAGACAGATGTTTCTGATGGTGACTAGCGAAATTTCATCTCGTTTTGTAGATTAAGGGATTTTTTTTTTTCAACGTGCTGCCAAAGCGTCTGCCGAAGGGGTATTAAAATCGAGAAGCATGCTGTGAGGGATTTCCAGAAAAAATTCCTAAAAAATCGCAGCATCCGTCTCAATTTGAATACCACCTCATCAGATCCTTTGGTAGCGCATCGAAAAAAAAATTCATACGTGGTAAGTATAGATGTTCTTATGTTAAAATACATCAAGGTGATTCGGGTTGAAGAGAAACTATTGCAGCAAAAAATAATGAGTGTGCTCCTGAAACCGCGGATGCTCAAAAAACCTCCTACCGCGGTTGGTTAAACGGTATATATATTTCGGATACTCGAAACCGCGGTTGGCGAGGGATTACGGTATATAATTAATTATAAATATTTCCGCAGATTAAGTTCCACGTTCAGAGCGATATCTTGCACCCTTCATGCCTTGAAGATATTCATCGATGGGGCGCACTGTCCCGAAATCGCACGGGTGGTTTTTCTGTATTTTTCCATTCTTTGGTAGTTCGGTTATTATCTTTCGCGATCGCGGCGATATGAACCGAGGATTCGCGGAACGGGAACGCGAAAACCCGACAGATGCCGAAAAACCAGGCGATGAACTCGTGACGGTAATGTAATAAATAAATTAATTACATCTTTGGTACATTCTCTTCCGTGAGATCTTCTCGGCGCAAAACACCGATATCGAACGACACGATCGATCCCATCACTGATGTGGAATAGATTATGGAATTCATCATTTTTCCTTCCCCCAACTGAATTCCCGAACGGCCCCTAACTGGTTAAAGCTGGCGTTCCTGTCAACACAACCACTCGGAATGGATGTGAAGGCCTTATTCAGCGTGGACCTCACTCTCTTTTGGGTCTCATATTCTATTGGGTACTCCCTCCCCCCCCTCCCCCTCCCCCCACGTTATGAAGAGCGGATTGCTCGTACGTTGAATCTTTCTCAGTTCTCTCGATTCTTTCCGGATGGATGCCTGAAATCTGAGGTTGAAAAAGTTGTGTGACCTGGTAACATCGGGAATGCAAGGCAGGGAGAAGTAAATAAATATCTGAGAGAAGAAAATAAAGAAAGAGAAGACCAGAGTCGGTCGGAGCTTAGAAGATGCGAATCGAATCGAACGATGGCAAGTGACGACCGCCGACAAAAAGAGGCCCTCGAGGTAAGCCGAAGCCCCCAAGGTAAGTTGAAGCCCATGACTGTAACCGGGAAGATGTCCCCAACTGACTCGTGACAAGTTCAGAGACGAATTTATTTTTCTCCGTAGGGGAAGAGGCAACATCGATGGAATTTGCCTGACTCTGGAGGCGGCCTCGTCATCGGCTCGAAAATGGGATCATCATTTTGATTGCGTGTTTCTCGAGGTGAAGATGTCGACCTCGATCGACCCCATTGAGATGTTCCCGCGTGCTTGTCGACCGTCTCGCGACGAAGCGCCCTTTCGAGTGATACTTATTCAATTTTGATCAACGCCAACTGCTAAAACCGGAAAGCGGAGGAACCTCTTCCCCGTAAATAGTGAATTCCTTGGAAGCGATGACGTTGGTGATGACGTCACCGCTTCCCCGGGGCTGGCCTCTTCGCCGGTCTGATCCAATCGTCCCTGACGTCAAAATCCCCGAAATCGCTGAAATCGCTTCCGTTTCGGTCCTTTTTTGCCAAGAGAATTCCCCTACGCCCTATGCCTTTGAATTTCTAGTGAAATTGAAATTCAGATCAGTTCACTCCTGGAACTGCTTCGAAACTGTCGCATGAAATGACATTAGTATTTTTTTTATGATTCAAAGACTTCCTGAAAATCGGGGAAAGTTCGACTCTCCTGGACTAAAAGAAAAATCATTGTGAAAATAAACGCCTCTGAAACTAAATGCTCGTCTCGGATTCCTCAAAAACTCAAAGTTCACTCGAAGTGACATGCTAATCTTTTTTTAATTTTTAAATAATATATAAACAACCCAGGGTTATAATTATTTTAAAATAGAACTGTAACTTTAAAGGTAACTTTGGCATGATGTCGAAGCAATGCCGTGACAAAATTCGATGTGCAGCTTTCGATAGGGAGAGTGGACCTGCGGTCTGGCGGTGGTTGAAGCAAACAAGGGTTCGCACGACCGAGGCGAGATGGCGCTGGGGTAGGCCATCCAGCCCATCCATTCCTGCTACTGCGGGAGTTAGTCGCCGATACTACTACACTGCAGGGGAGGGGATCTCGATTCTTCAAGGAATCCGTCTAAAGAGGTAATCCAGTCCAAGGAGTCTCCTGGAGACTCTGAAGGATGGGGGGAGCGGTTCAGCTTCATGGTTTGCTTCATGTGAAACCCGCAGAATTAACCGATGACAAGACGCATGGAGATATTCTATGGAGCCGAGTACGGGTCTCAAGCCTTAGAAGGAGCAATATTATACTCGAGGGCCGTCATCTGCTACGAAACTGGTTCAAGTGCCTTGGTAGTACCTCGAAAGGGATGTTATTCGAGCAGCTTCGGTGCTACTTGGGCACGTTTAATTCCATGCTTTAAATGCTTTCGTCCGACCCTCTCGGGTTTAATGCTGCTTTCGGCGCTCCTAAAGGAGAAATTTCAGCGTTGTGTCGACGTTCGCTGCAACGCTGCTGCTGCAACGTTAGAAGCGTTAGAAGCGAACGGTGTGATAGCATTCCTCCAATGCTATTACAAGTTCCAATGCTTGGGTTCGAGAGATACTGTCCCCTCCCCCCTCTCCCCACCCCCCCTCTCCCCTCCTCCCCTCTCCCCTCCCCCCTATCCTAGAATTATTTTCTGCCCTCCAAATGAAATTACCGTCCATTCTATACCGTGTCTATTACATTACATCTCTAGTACATTCTCTCCCATGAGATTCCCTTGGTGCAAAACACCGACCCGGAACACGATCGATCTCGTCGCATCACCCCCCAACCGGATTCCCTCACTGCCCCGAACCGATGAAAGCTACCTTCCCCGTCCGCACGGAATGAATGGAGGCGGAGGGATCATTCGGCACGGACTCTCTTCGGCCTTGTCGCGGGCGAGAGCGCGTCGAATCGCGCCTCTTTAAAAGCCATTCAGGAACATCGCTTCGTCATTCGCTGCTCGACGTGGGATTCCCCCCCTGCCCCCTCTTTCCCCCCCCCCCCCCCCTCCTTGCAAGGATGGTTGCGGATCGTTGGATCCTCTTTCTTCGTTCATGCCGGTCTCGGACCGGTGAAATCCATTCCGGGCAAGCCTCAAAACGAGTACCAAATCAGCTGCTTCACGAATCTTTTCGGTATTCGGGAAAAAAAATTACGAAGAGAGAAAAGATTGCAGGAGTGAAAAATCGCTTGAAACTTGATGCGGTCGATTGCGGTTCGTCGATTATCGGGAGATTATATATATATATTTTCTTTTTTCTTTTAAAACGTCTCCCCCCAAATTGGGTGCCCCCAGGGTACGTACCTCCAAAGTCGGATTTTTCCTGGACTCAGCATCCCAATAAGTACTTACAAAGTACCATACCTTTCATACCAAGTTTCATTCTTCTACCGTATCAAGAACATGGTTAGAATTAGCGTCAGTCACGATCGTTTATATATATTAGATAACTAGGGTAAGTCAACAATACGCTCCTCCGAGCAGAATCACCTGAAATCTCAATTTGCACAAGCCCTCGACGGCCCCTGGAGAAGTCCTCGACGGCCCCTCGAGAAGTCCTCGACGGCCTCTCGCTCCTATTCAAGGATTTTTTTTTTTTCCAATGATTTTTCGCCCACGGCGTTCCTCCGATCTCTCCAGATCAGAGTTCTCGATCTGTGGTCGACGGCCCTTCTATGGGAGTAAAAGGGAGTTTTTGAGAGCCACTGCTCCAGATGAATGCCTGAAAATAATTAAATCTAAAAAATATATATCTGTCGGCCTTCGTCTCTCGAATGTCCTGCAGTCCGGGCGCGTTCGATCTCCCCTTCGGTTCGCTCATGCTTCGTTGCTATAGCAATTGTTACAGCAATTGCTATAGCAATGGTTAAAGCAATTGCTATAGCAATTTCGTATATGAAATTCGATCTTCGATGCACGAGAATTGGGTCGCTGCCACTTTTTTCAGTTCTACGGGCCGTCGATCTCCGAAAACGGGGGGATTCGAGTTCGATCCGTGACGATAAAGCGACCGTCACAGAGCCTCACCTGTTGTAATGGCTCTCCGTAATGGCTCTCGAACTTCCCCCGCGAATCCTTCCCGCTCCATTCTGGGTCTCGAATTCCGCCGCCTGCGTCGACGATCTTCATCTCACGAACGGAATATAATTTTTACAAAACTTAAGAAATGGAATGATGATGAACCCCTAGGAATGCATGCTCAAAAGCCACCCAGCCAGGGCCGGATTAAGAAGTCGCGAGGCCCGGGGCAAGTGGATTTTTGAGGCTTACCCCTCCGCTACTTTGCACAAATATTTAACGATAATTTCCTTCCGCGGGGGAGGGGGGGGGGACCGGGAAGAGTGGGGCCCGGGGCAACAGCCCCCTTTGCCCCCCCCCCCCCTCTTAATCCGGCCCTCCATGGTCTCATCTGCCCTCGAAGTTCACCACCTTAGTGGCATGACCCAATATTCACGTAGCTTGGGGGGGAGATTGATCAGAATGGGGCCAACCCCACCCCACCGGTCGAGAAGTCACAAGGACCCCTTTGGCGAAACCCTGGCTATGCCACTGGCCATGCCCCTAAAAGAACGCTGCAACACGACGGTAGTGGCATCGAATCTCATGACCTCTTGCATAGGCTAAACACACACGAAGACACTCGCGCACGCGAAGACGAGATGCAATTCGTTGTTTCTCTCTCGTGTTCGTCGCCTGCATTCGCACAACGAGCGCTTGCTCGAATAAGCGTCAGCTCATCCTTGGGAAGAGCATCTGCGCCGCACGTAAGAAAGGAACTCGACTCCAGAACTTTCGCCGAAGAGCGGCCGCCACCGTGGAATCCGATCGAAATCCTCCCAAACACCCCAAACCAGCCAGCCGATCCCCGCACGCGACTCCAACCCCCCCCCCCCATCTTTGACGTCCCCCCCCCCCCCCCCCCCCCACCGCCCTGCCCCAATCACTACCATGCTAGGGCCTTCCCTTCCCTTCCTGAGGTGTAGGTGTCATCCCATCTCTAGCCCATGTGTTCCCTCCCTTTTCCATTATTATTTTTTGCCATTAGTTTTCACATTATAATGAAAATTTTCGAACTTAATCTCTTCATTTTACCCTTTAGACCTTTTGACCAGGTTTTCGCTTCTTTCAGTTTTTTTTCCGCTTTGTTTTGGCTTCTAATGGCTTTTGTTGGTGGTTTTTTTTTGTGTTGTCCTTTTCTGCTTTGTCTTATTTTGGGCTTCTGTACTTTCCCTCATGTCTCCTCATGGGGGCTCTTGGGGGCAAACAGCTCCCCCAATGCTGTTTTCACTTTCTTTGAACATACTGGAATGTCTATATCATATTTTTAGTCCCTAAAAGAAATGAATGTATTTAAAAAAAATGTGAGTCAAGTGAATAAAGACAGACAACACTGTATGCGCGCTCGAAGCAGACGGCCACTGTGACGTAGTAGCGTCACGTGACCCACGCTGCGGCCATTTTGCCTTCAAACCGGTAGGAACGTAGGAACATCGATTTGATTTGTGTCTCGTTGGCATGATTTCCTGCATGTGGTAGTTGACGAAAAGAGTGAAAATATGTCGGAGAGTACTGAGGCAAAGCAGGATGGGATCCTGGAAACGTCTACCAAGGTGAGAATGCAATTTTAGACGCCTAAAAGCGAGACTGCGACCCACGAGTTTCATATGCTAAGGGGAGATGACTCTGTGTAAAATTCATTTGGCCTCTTCTTTAAGAAGCCCATTGACTTGGTTGTCTCAGGCGTATGGGAAAACTTTCATTTTTTAGTTAAGTTCGTCTGTTTCAGTTGACTTCAATACATTGAAATACATTGAATACAGGCGAAGGCCCGAAAGTTAACGTTAACGTAACTTGTGTTTTACCCTCGTAGGCCTAACGTTAGGATAGTCCACTAGGTCCACTAGGCCTGGCTTCAGGCAATTCCACTAGGCCTAATGTTAGTCCTAGCATTACAATTTGGTCATGGGGTCATTTGAAGAAGTAAGACTCAAGGCCTTATGTTTGGCTAGACCCCAGTTGGACCGTACTAGTGACAGGTGACCATCTGCCCTCAAGTTACGCTACAACCCTTTTGCAGAATCTAACAGGATTGAGTTAAGGAACAGTGATCACTCCATTCAGAATCCAAGGCATGTCAAAACTTCCCTGTATTCACATGCAAATTAAAAAGAACAAGTAATTTCTGTACAATTACAATATAACTCCATTCCAATCATACCCTCAGATGCTGTGAGTATATATGTGAAAGATGCATGATATTGCAGTCTCTTTGCATGCATTCATGCAGAGTGGCTCCAATTCTTAAAAAATGCGGAGTTGGTGACAATTCAGAGGGCATCCATCATATCTGCTACTCCGATTGCCTTTTCATACTCAATAGTTGAGGATGAAGGACATTATGCTGGCTGAGGGCAAAACATGCTGGAATCCACCTGAGCCCCAGTAGGATTGGCATAGGGAGTGCACGTGATGAGGGGGGATGATCCTGCCTTCATGTCAGTGACAACATGAGTGACACAATACAAAGCGAATATCCCAACCTCCTAGCCCCATGGACAGGTCAAGAAAAGGGACACGAAATGTTGATGGTGGCTTCAGGTACATGGCAATTCTATGTTGATGATGAAATGTTGAAAGGCATTTTCATGGACGAGCAGGGAGATTTTATACAATGCTCCTTCCTCACCATAACACAGTTTTAGACGAGCATAAATGTTTGACATATGGCATGGGTATGGTGGGAGAGCATAGAGTGACTTCAGGAACTCTTTCCCTCATTATGCTAATCATTTTATGGTCAGAAATGGGTGTTCTGAGAAATCTCAACAATCAGTCATGTTTGAAAGCCACTCCTACTTTAATAATTTATGCCCACATTGATAACGGTTTATTTCCTGAGCATGTCATTCCAGCTTTGGGCATTTTTTTTAGATGCACACCTGTTTTATCACAAGTTAGACCTATACCAGATTTCCTGCATGTGAAGGTACATACCAATAGTACATGGCAGATGGCATTAGGAATGGGAACTTGGGTTGTGGCAGGGGACACTCTAATCCTCCAATTATCAGAGGGCCTTCAGCTTCAGTTGGGTACAAGTATAAAGCTTTCTGACCTTGGATAGCCTGTTTCTCACTTACACTTCAGGCCTTTGTGTATATAATGCCTATAACTCTGCTCATCATGACTGTAACCCTGCTATTCACATTCCTCATCTTTCTCTGGTGAAGGCATGGAGACAAAAGTTGAGTAAAAAATGTTATTCTGCTTGTTAATTCACCTTCATTGGGCCATGTGACCAAAATGTTGAAAATGTATTCTCACTATTTTAATTCTGTAATCTTATTTTGGTACTGAAACTTAGGTTGGCATGAATGGCATAGGAAGGAGGGTTAAGGTACACAATGATTGGTGGACTCCAATAAGGGGAAAATGAGGTGAAATGCAAAAGCAAAATTCCCATAACACATACTCACTCCTCAATTTTGTCACTGAAGTCACTTAAGTCCCAAAGCCTAGTTTCAGTTAATGGTCCTCTAATCTCTATGCTGCCTTCATGCTCTAGCGGTATCCATACTAATAGAAGAACCATTAGTGGTGCCTTGATAATTTTTAGATTGTTGATCTACAATAATGGTTCATTTGTAAATAGGCCTATGAATAGGATTACATCGCTAGTCTTGGCCTATTGATAGATTTAAAAAAAATAGCTGGCATTGTTCATGGCTTTGCTTGTTTCTTAAGGCATTGATTATTTGGCATTTTCTTTGCTATCTTTGGCATTGAAATTGAGTTTTCTCTGTTTTCATTCTGCTTTTGGAGTAGTATTGATAGTGGTCATACATATAGGGACTGTTAATCTTTTGGTTATTACTCAAATCAACAACTCAACACCTTACAAAATTTTTGTTCATGGTGGGAAATGTTTGGGACTTGAAGATGTGGCTAGGGTCTGATATTCCTTGCATTTAAGAATGTTTGAGATTATGGCTATTTCCTGCAATTAAAAGGAAACTATTGCAGTATATTGTCAAAATTGGTAATGCCATTTAACCTTTACACACAGAGCATTTCCATTTTTAAATAAAGGATGTAAGGGGGAAAATGCAAATTTTGCCATATTCAAAGGGCATGGAATTTGTCTTTCCACACCTTTAAATGGTAGATTACATGCTGTTCGAGTATGGTAACTTTTGCAGATTTTGATGTAAAGGCTGTGTTCAAATATGGCAAAATTAAAAATTTTCCACTTACCTGCTTTGTTTGAATATGAATACCTTTAGAGTGTAAAGGTTGACCCATTGAGGTGTATGAATGTGCCAGTACGTCCATACTCCCGAAAGGATTAAGAAAACTCGCTCCTCAAAGGGTTAAACAGCCTCCTAATATGAGGTGAGAAATGTATTGAAACCTGAAGTTTTGAGGTGCATCAACATCATAGCATAAACAGTTCCCTTGAGTGGGCTATCTGTGATTTAAAAAAAGAATGATTTTACTGATGTGAAACTGCCTGAATGTTTCGGTTTAGTTTAGTGAATGTTTTGATTTTGGGCCTTATAAAAAAATATAACTCTCACCTGATTGTAGATAAGCGTACATTCCCAATTCATCCCAACCTTTGATGCCCTTGATGAAAGATTATGCTTCTAAAAGTCTTGATTATGTTGATGTTTTTCTTGTCTGCATGATCTCCAGATGGTCTAAGTTGGACTTGGCTTTTTTGTGAGTTGAGATTGAAGGAAGATTAGGTTGAAGTCAGTCACATAATAATGTTTAACTCAGTAAGTTTTCTTTTTCAGGAAGGAGACAGTGCTGGTCAGTCAGAGGATTCCAGAGACTCAGGGAAAAGAAAAAGGTCAAGCAGAAAAATGTCGGCATTGGAGCAGTTGAAAGCAGAAGGAGAAGCCCTTCTGAAAGTGAGTGGTTCTTTCCTTTCTGTGATTGACCAAAAGAACTATGGTCAAACATCATGATTTGTCTGTCAAGTGTGAATCTGGGCATGTGTGATTAGTTTCTGGGGTGCATGGATTTGTGTTACTTTTTACTGATCCAATTCTAATTTTTCTTTCAAATTTATTGCTCATGCAGGGCTTCTCAAGATACAACTAGATATGGTCCTATTTTTCCATGTTTCCAAGAATTGATATGATTATTTTGCCTTGTTTTTTTGTGTACTTGGCCCCATTAATGCTCTGTTACTTCATTTTTTAAATATAGCATTAAAATGATTCAAGGTCCATGTAGGAGAGTGAAAATCAAGCCCTGTCCTTTTTCTCTGTAGGGGATGTCGAGCAGCGGAGAAGATGACAACAGGAGGCGGACACGCTCTTCCTCAAGGGGAACCCCTTATACTCCTCCTTCTGCAAGCAAGAGGGAGAGGCGCACCCCTGTCACCACACCTTCATCCAGTGGCCGGAAACGAGGAAGGCCCAAGGCGTCTGAGAAGGTTAGCAAAGCTAATGAAATATCCCCCCCCCCCATTATATTCTCATGATGGTGAGAGTCAAATGCCTCTCCAATTGCAGAACAAAACTGAGGATGAGGAAAGTAAAGATGAGGACGAGGAAGAGATTGCAGAAGAGAATGAAGAGCCGAAAAAAAAGCAAGCAAAGGTTGATGCTGAAGGAAGCAAGTCAGAGGGGAAGCGAGAGGCATCTGCAGACAAAGAGAAGAGGCGAGTGAGTGAGGAAGCCATGGATGCTGATGAGCCAGAGGTATGGGTGATGGCTAATGAATGGTTTCACATAGATGTTTTTTTAAATTATTTGTAGTTGGGCAAAGATGAGTTTTTGTCTGAAAGAAATGCAGTAATTGGAACCTAATTTTCCTCATAGTTAATGTTTAGGAGTTGATGTTTTATTATTCCTTCTAATTCCTTTCTTTTTGGGCATTTCAGTCATCAACAGAGAAATCCCATGGGAGCAGTCAAGATTCTGCTCAGGAGCCAGAGGCAAATGAGGAAGAGAGGAAAGAGGAGAAGGAAGTAAAAGAAAAGAAGGAGTTGTCCACATCACACCTGCCCCCCTCTCAACCCGCCCCTGTCCCTGAAGCCACGCCTGCACCTGCACCTGCTGCCCCTGAATCAGAGCCGCAGCACAATGATTCTCAGCCTGCTTCTGCAGGTAAGTCTATGCATATTCTGCAGTGTTTTTTTTTTCATATTTAGTTCTTGAACTCATGGAACATGTAAATCAAGGATTGAAAATGGGTGAGTGAAGGAATTCATATGGTGAATTCACATTTTGATGTGAACACCATATGGAATTTCATGGTAAGACTTGGAAAATGATTTGATAATGAAAAGCCCCTACAAGGAAAGAAGGTGCTTACAAGCCTCCTTTATTCCATTACCAGTTCAGTTTTTAAGATACATGAAACATTGCAGTTCCCATGCTTCAAGAAGTAGCTCTTACTCATATATGCAAAAAAAACTCAGACTGGGTGCTGAAGCCTGCTTTAGTTAACTGTTCTTTAAGAATACTTGGACTCGATGGGAGAAAAAGAGCTCTTTAGCTTAAAGGTCCCTTTATCTCCCCTAAATGAGGTTTGTGCATTCTCACCTCAACATTTTGACTTGTCCTGTGTGGGTGTACACATAATTGGCAGGAGGGTTGTTCCTTTATGAAGGAGCAATGTTTCGTGTCCTTGCCTTGTATTTCTATTGAAACAAGTTCATTTGATTTGACAGAAGTTATATTGGTATGTGTAACATTAGAAAGTTAAATTGACACCATCCTCATTTGAATGAGCTGTGTATGTGGCTCTTTTATTACTTCTGGTAGCATTAGCATTACTTTAATTGTGTCATCATTTTCATATTCTCATTTTATTAAGAAAGCCTGAAGGAAATAAATATTTTACAAAGTTCCCATGTTCATAGATAGATGTGTCTGTGTTTCCTCTTGCAGGGCCTACTAGTACAAGTGAACCTGCGGCTAATTCCAAGCCCGAGAGCCGCACGGGTGGGGAGGCTCCTGTTGCAGTGTCTGAAGCCCCAAAGCCGGTGGCAGTGGCCCCTGTCGACACACCACCTCAAGCAAATGGAATTTCCACTACTGCATAAAATTCCTTCTCCACTTCTCCTTCCTCTCTTGTGTCATCATCATGGCAGCAACGCAATCAACTGGTATCATGCATCGAGAATCAAGCTGTGTAGTGTCTCACTCTCTCTTTCTCTCTGTGAACATCTAAAGTTGGTTCCCACTGTCAAAGGTTTCATCTGTTTCTCTCTCTCTGTCTCTCTTCTTAATATCTTAATGAGGTTAAAATTTATACCTGCAAAAAATTAGTAATCTGTTGTATATACAGGAGAGAAAAAAGCAACCGAGGAATGTAAAGTGGTGGAGTTTTTTCTGTATACATGCACTTGCGTGTGAGTGCGCGTGTCCATGCGTCCCGACAGCCCGGAATGAAGAAGTCAATGTTCACAAGCCTAGTCTTCTTGCCGTGCATTCAGTACTCAGAGCTTCACTGGTGAGAGGTTGGAAAGGAAGAAAAAGGAATGGAATTCATCCATGTATATAAAGGGAATCAGGTATGACACTTTGGCTCATCCTGCTGGGCTGGTGCCATCTGGAATGGAAGATGTTTTTTTTTAAGTCTCATATCAGTTCATCCTGGGTCTATTTCTGCAGTCTTGTTATCCATCGGAGATACAAGAACACAGTATGGAGTTTTCTTTTGACAAACTCCAAACTCCCTTGTGACCCCAGTGTTCCTGCAGTGACGATAGGACAGCCAATTTTACAGTTAGATAGCGAATCTCTGATTTGTTTGTTACTTGTAGCTGATTATCAAAGACTCATTTTGCATTTAAACCTGATTTCAGGTCTTCATTTCACATTTGTCGTCTCATCCTGCTGTTGATCGTTTCTCTTGTGTGCATGGTAGACATGCACGATTCATATCTTGACCATGCAGCTGTACTGTTTGTCCAGGCCCAAAATGGGCCAGGCCACATAAGGCTGCTGTTTCACATCTTACCTCTTAGCAACAGGTTTTCTGGTCTTCCTCTTCTCAGGAGATTTTCACACAGCTGAAGCCTGTGCAGATACCCTCATGTTAGATTTTTGGCTATTCCTCACTGGAAAATATGAACCTGTCCTTCATAGAACTGAATTTTTGTGTACTTCACCCATTGTTGTTTGCTTTTCTTTGACTATCCACAATATATCAAATGGTACATGAATCGTCACCTGGGCAATCAGGAGTGCCATCTTAAGTGCCGATGCCGCATTCTTGAAATGAAAAATAAGGTGATCCTATCAGGGCCTGGACAACCTAGTACAAGTATTAACCAGCTTGTTGCTGTTTGATGATGATGATGATGATGATGGTAATGAGTTCAAGATGATTGTCCCATGTGCTCCTTTTTTTTATACCATTAATGATGTCATGTCTCAGTCACTCTTTCTCTCTGGTTATCTCCTTCCTGTCTGTGTGTGAGTGGAAGAGGAAGAAATAAAAAATTTTCAGCTCTCTTTCAAGGAGATGTCATCTTGATATTTTTCCTGTTGACATGAGAAGGGCATAGAGCTGCTTCCTTGCAAGCAGGCTCAGCTGGGCTGCTAGTCATGCTGCAGCAGAAATATGTACCAGTCATTGCTTTAATCCAGTGTTTCCCAAACTCTGTTTCGTTATCCCATGAACCCAGGGGTTCATGGCAAGGTGCGAAGAGCATCAGGGCATAAAGGGGATAGCTTCTTAAATCTGCAGCACCTTCCCACATGTGCATGAGGGGTCGCATGATTACGAAGTTTGAGAACCACTGCTTCAATCCATTTACTAATGCACTTTTTCCATATCTGGCCTTATTTTAAGCTTGCACATGATCTCCAAAACTATGCAAACTTTTGTTACATGACTCCATGCACAATGAAAAAGTGATCAAGATGTTGAGTTCAACATATTGGTGTAGATATTGGAGGTGTTGGACATGCCATTGGCATCAACCAAGATTCTCATATCCTGTTGTATGTTCAGGTTTGAAAAGAGCATTATTTGCTGGAAGCAGCTGTTGATTTCAGAGGAAGGTGTGCTTCTGAAAACTGAACATAAAGTATCAGCTCACCCATGCTTCAAGTGCACATGACCAGACACTAGATACACAACTCATTAAGAATTAAATGATTCAGTTGAGATGAGACATTTTAGCAGTGGAGGTAGGTTCAAAAAATTTTTTTTAAAATAGTGTTCAAACAGTGAAACCTGAGTATCACTTGCAAATGAAAGGATAGGAAAGGTCCAAACCTTGATAAGAATTTTGAGGGAAAACAGAAAAATTGAGGAATTTGTACTATAACTTTTTAATATCAGTTGATGGTGTCCTAGCATAAATTAGCATAGAGGTATTCAGAGATTTTGGTGGGGATCTGTGAAACAGTTCATCCGGTAAGTGAAGTGAGTTCTTATTAATAACGTACACTTATATTTGAGATTCATCAGTTCGCAGATTTCTTTGCACTCGAGGTGTCTGGTGAGGATGGGGATGCTGCTCCAGCTGCCTTTTCAAAGACATTGTGGAAGATGGTGGAGTCAACCCACTTCCCCAGAATCCTCTGCTAATTTTTCTTTGGCTCGATAGCACGAAACTGATTCCTCGTGTCACACTTCGGTGATGGGATGGATTTGAAAGTTGTGCAGAAAATTCACCCCTCCTGAAAGTTCCCGTGAACATTCTGATGCAGATCGTGCCTTTCTACGCGATGGGATCTTTTCGTATGCTCTAGAAGGGCAAACATTCGATGTTCTTCCCACACTGTAGATTTTGCTAAGCACATCCACGATGTACAGACAATTGAAAGCACATTGAATATGGTCAAACTGCTGGAGTTGGAAAGCAGACTTTTGAAGTTTTCAGAGAAGCCCACGTTTGTAACTTCACATGGCCAGAACATTTGAGTTTGCATATATATATTGCAATATATACAAACTTTTGCAGAGCAAGAAAATATTTTAAATGCAAAACTGGTAAAAAGGAATTTGAAGCCTTATCGTAAATTCTGGTAAACTTTCCTCGGCTGGAATTGCATCGCTCACTCCTATATTCCCCTACATTTATTTGCAGAAAATAGCTACATGGATTTTGCCATGATGCCATTATAATCGCATTCAAATTTGTTGTTCAGGATGATGCTGAATTCCACAGTGCTGTGCTCGAGGTGCCTCTGCGTGTTTCGAACCGGTCGGATCGACCGAACTTTAACATTTCCGTCGCCCAGAACCGTTGTGACCTCGGGGGCCTCGCAACCCGGGTCAACGGTCATCTACGAAGGACCCTTGAACCGACAGATACGAGCCATAAAGCTGTTCAGCCTCTCGACCAGCGCCCTGGGACTCCTCTTCCAGCCCGTGTTGCTGGTGAAACTGGCCGGGACGTCGTTGTGGCTGCAGGCGGTCGCCGGAGGCAGCGTGCTCGCCCTGGCCCTCGTCACGCCAGTGTTGCTCCACTTCATCACCGGGAAGTACGCCCTGAGGATCGAGCATCACTCGGACACCGACAGGTTCTCCGTCTACACGTACTCGCTGCTCGCGCGGCTCAAGCGGCTGGACTTCGACGCGGGGGAGGTCCACGTCCCCGATCTCCCGGGGATGTTCACCTCGTTCCACGTGAAAGGCGTGCCCGTCTTCGCCGATCCCAGGTACTTCTCCGACAAGGCGGCCTACGTCCGCATCATGGGCCTGGACAAACCCGTCGATTTCAAGCTCGGACGCCCCCCCGCGCAAAAGTCTCACGAAAAGACTTGACGGTTAGCCTAGTCCACCTGCTCTACCATTTCTCATGGTGCTGTCATTCAGTTTGTGATCGATAAAAGTTTATATTCAGGACCCTCTGAGTTTTTTTTTGTTTTTGGGAGAAACATGCCAGCATTAATATGGATTAATTCAGTTTGTAGTCAATTGGTAGTCTCAGACTTGGTATCAGCAAAATTCTCGCATCTTACCAATATGTCCGAGTCAGCAGACATTGGGTTCCAGAAGGGAAGTTTTGATATCAGTCCAGAGGATTCCATTATAAGCTGCAGCCATTGCATGCTTTGGATGATTCCTAATGGAGATGAAGCTCTTAAAATGATATGCTGTTGGGATTTACTTTAAAAAAAAAAAATTTTTTTTTTGGTGTGTTATGCATCTCATGCGCCTTTGGCTGTCACATCGCCTCTAGAATTTCTGATTTATTACAAGAAACATTGTTTATTATTTTCAATGCTTATTGGAATTTTTTTAAACACAAGTGTGGGAAGCAGTTTGTGTCTTTTAAGTGTGGGTTTGGATAGATTATTCAACTTTGATCTTTAAACACTAATTTGAAGGGAGAAAGAGATAGATAGAAAGTAAATATAAAAAAGAATTCACATTTGGGGCCTTGGCAGGTGTTTTCCCCCCCCCCCCCCCCCGTCCCTTGCAAATCATTTTTGGAAAGCCCAAAGGGGGGGGGGGGGGAATAGTGCAAAGATGCTCAGTCAAGTTGTAGGATCCCCGAAATAAAATTTTCCATGATCTCTATTTGCTGTGTGAAAATACTATTCAGTTGAGTCATCTGTTGGGGATAAAACATCATAGGTCTAAACTCCAATTAATGTGATGGCTGAACGACAAATATATATATAAGCAAATAGAAAGGTTCTGACCCGACTCATATGCCACAAGAGCCCGATACCCACGTGCCTAGATGAACGAGAGCGACAGTGCCAAGGCGAGAGCGATCCGCTTCGTCGACAAGAAATTCGGGAAGGACGCGAAGAGCCTGGGCCAAGCGGAGGAACTCGGCCGGGACCTGAGGGAAGAGAAGGAGAGGCTGGAGGCCGAGATCACCCTGAGGGGAGCGGACGGGAAGCTCACCGTCGGGACTGCGTTCCCCAAGGCCAGGCAGATACTCCGCCGCGTCGAGGAGATTCGGTCGGAGTGGCCGGATCTCCGGGACGCCTGCACCGCGTTTCTCAGCCGCCACGCCGAGAGATACGATGACCTCAGGGACGATTGCCAAGAGCTGGAAGAGGCCATACGTTTCCGGGACTACCTCGAAGCGCTCAAGGACGTCGAACAGCTGAGCGGAGCCATCGAATCGTCCCTGAAGAACGATGCCAAGCAGTCGGCTGTTACCATCTATGCTCAACTGCTTGCCTATAATGCGACCCTTCACCGAGAGAAACCGCTGCAAAAGAACCTGCTGCTGTATTCGGACAAAATGGTCTCCTTTTGGCATTCGACCCTCAAGGATGCCTTCTCGACAGAATTCGAATCCATCCTCCAAAAGGACCTCAAGTGGCCCTTCATCTCTGTGAACCAAACCGTCCACCAAGAAGGGATTTCCTCGGATGCCCTGCAGAAATTCGAATCGTCTCTGAGCGTGCTGCTGCAGCTGAAGCCACCTCACGATCGCATCCGCTCTGCGTCCATCTCGGGTCCCACGTTGATCGATTTCCCGCCTCTGACCCTCCCCGTCGCCCTGATGCTGAAACCCCTCCAGAAGCGATTCCGCTTCCACTTCTGCGGGAACAAGCAGACGAACGACATCGCCAAACCCGAGTGGTATCTGACCCAGATCATCAACTGGGCCCGGGATTGTCTCCCGTTCGTGGAGCTCTCCGTGGTGCCTCTCGTCCGCAACGATGCCGCAGGTCGAGAGACGATCGATGCCAGAGTGGAATTTCTTCAGGGGCTGGTCATGTTCGTGGTGGAAAAGCTGTGCAACGACCTTCCCGAGATCATCGACGACGACGGCCTTTTCTCTCACACGCTCGACGAAGCTCTTTCATTCGACAAGGACTTTCGAAACGCGTTCCATTACCCCTCGTCCCGTCCGGGCATCCTTCACGTCCTCTCCCAAGCCCAATATTTCCAGAAATGGATCGAACTGGAGCGAAAATACGCAGTGGAAAAGATGGACCTGATCCTGAGTTCCGAGACCGCCTGGCAGATGGACGGATCGGATTTCGGTACCTACGAAGGCGGGACGGAAGTGAGAGTGACGGAGTGTGCAGACGCCTTCCTCACGATGCTGCAGACGACGACGGAGCGGTACAAACCGCTGCAGCAGCCCGGCCATCGCCTCCAGTTCCTCCAGCTCCAGCTGGACCTCCTCGACGACTTCCGGGTGCGGCTGTTGCAGTTGGTGCGGGAGGAGCGTGCGGAGCCGCTGACGTCCAACCTGTGCCCGATCCTGAACACCGTGGCTTACATGGTGATGGTGTTGCAGGACTGGAGCGAGCTTCCTTTCTTCGTGCAGATGCAGTTCTTCAAGGCGCAGTCGGATCTCCACATGAGGGTGTCCCGGGAGGCGAGGCCCATCAGAAGCCCCGACGACCCTTCGCTCTTTGAAGCGTCTTTGGACGAGGGTGTGCAGAGCCTGGTCCTGGATCCAGAGCTCCCCGAATCCCTGGATTGCCTCGATGTTACCGTTTTCGATGGAATCAAGGCTTTGTTCGAGCGCATGCAGGAAGACCTGTTGAGTCTGGTCGTGGACGAGATCGTCTTGGACGTGCGCACGAAGAGCAAGGCGTACAAGAACGACAAGTGGTTCGGCATGATTCATCCGAAAGAATTTTCTTTCCCAAATCTCACACCGTCGGCATGCATCTTCTTCGATGCCATCAAGTCCCATCTGCTGGCGATGCAGGCGAAGCTCTCCCGATGTCTGTTCGATACGCTATGGAAGAAAGTGGCAGACGAGGTTTGCCAGATCTTCCTTGCCACCGTCGTGATGGACAACCACTTCAACGAAGGCGGTGCGGCTCAGTTGGAATTCGACGTGACGCGGTATCTCTTTGCCGTCTTCTCGGACTTCACCGCCCGGCCGGAGACGAGATTCCGTCAGCTCCGCGATGCCGTCGCCATCTTGAACCTCCCGAAGGGGACGGCCATCCTCCTAATGGATGCCGTCAGTGGATCGGGTCCGGAGAAAGAGAAGTCGGCCGTCATGAAGGAGATGGGTGTTTCGCATCTCTCTCCGAGGGAGGCGCTTCGTGTTCTCCAAAGTCGACTCAATCTTTCCGTTCTGTGACCTCATTAATGTATTGGTTTCTCGGTTAATTTTTCTGGTGATTGAACTTACTCTGAGGTGCTAAAAATTGCGGTGTGTCTAATGCTTTCAGAGAGGAAAGGGATTTAATTTTTTTTTTTTTTTTTTTTTCCTTTTCGGAGGAAGAGGAAATAAAGATTTATTTTACTTCCTTTACATCAGTCCTTTTTAGTTTCCCAAACGCACATGCCCTGTTTTCTAAAAGATATATATTGACATTTGTCAAAATTGATCCTATTGTTTTTGAAACCTCTGTATTCGTTGATTCGCACGCGTTTCAGCCACAACCTGGACGTGGGCTCATCGTGATAGACTGGAACGTCAGTTTGCCCAAGCTCCCAGGCATGTTTGAGTGCCGACCTCGAGTGTCAAGTATGTCGTCGAAGCACGTGCATGTAGCTTAACGTGTCCGTTTCCCCACGATTGCTGTTTCATCTGGGTCGTTCATCTCAACCTGCAAGAACTTCAAGTTATGCTGCTATCCTTGGGTGTAAACTCAACAGTTGGTTTTGATTGAGCCACATGGATGCTAGATTTTGAATGAGAAATTGCAGGTTTTGGATGGTGGAAGACCTATTTTGATTTTGTACCAGCACCTATGCTAGTTTTGATGATCTTTGCAGGTTTCCGTTTATTTGTATCCTTTGAGATTTCATTTTCGATGAAAGCCACAAAATTATCATTCTGCAATGGAAAGTATCAGGTGTATTTAATTGAGAACAATGGTCATGTTGACATATCTACCATGCCATAGTAAAATATCCCAGTACTGCTGTAACACAATATGCTGTTCCTCCACTCATGCTCCACTTGTTTCTCACATTTGATCTGTGCTCTGGGAACAGGCAAAGACGACCACGATGATGCGGAGGAGACACCGGAAGGACCGGAAGCAGGACATTCGGGTGTTAGGACTTGCAACCCGATCCCGGTGCCTCTTCATGCTTCACCTGGGAAAAACAGGTGAGTTCATCCAGTTTCATAAGAGGCTACCCCTCGAATGCATGGTTTTTCCTCTTTTTTTTTTTTTCTTTCTCTTTTCTGTTGTTTGTTGGTCTTTGCCAACTTCCCTGGAATGCTATTGAACATGAGCATGGGAATGTAGGAAATATTAAATCATTACAACTATTTAATGAATCCTTAATTTTTTCAAAAATGTTTCCATTAAGTAGTTTTATGAAGAAATGTCAGGTGGCACTTCTTCATCCATGAGTGCATTCTAGCATTTGAGCTTCCAAGTATCTATTGAATAACCATCGTAGAGTATGGTAATGTCATGCATCAGATGAAAGTTATTATCTTTAATGAAACTAATGGAAGGGCCCAGTTGAATTCGTGCTCACAGCCCCACTTTCCTTTGCACCACAAGCTTTAAAGTCCCTATAATGGTCATTATAGGGACCAGTCAACTTAAGTACTCTTCTTCTCATGTTTGTATTTATTCCATCACAATTCATAAAATCATGTTATATGCTATCCAGAGATACATATCTCTGGACACCTTAAACATGCATTCTTAAGTTTCTGTATTGCTGTTTAACTTTTGTATTACAGAGGACAATAATGTCTCCTCTTTGCTAAGGATGCAGAAATAGTGAACTTGCTTTTCCATTGTTATGGAAGTGAATATTTAACGGAAAGAAGTACCAACAAATTGTGAAGCAGCTGCACTAGTTGAATTTAATTGGGATGGAATGGAATTTCTGTTGTTCCTGACACCATGTCATTTTTATGAGCAGTTCTCATTTATCCATCAGATGAAAGATGAAATTGAAATAGTCTTAGCAGAGAGTAGGTTGCAATAGCTTTTATTGTTCTGTACTGCACTGAAACTTGAAACCAGATCAGTGGAAAATAGCTGTCAATCATGTTATTGCATGCCGTGAAACATGACCATGAGGAAGGAGAGGGCCGAGAGGTGGAGGAGGTGCGGAGGCATGAGGTAGGAGGGCCCTTGTCCTTTCAAAGGCTTGGTCAAATGCGGCGTGCGTTGGGTGGTGGTAGGGATGGGAGGGGTGGGACGGATGGCAGTGCTGGGTTTGTTGCACAGGTCTTCATCGCAGAGGCATGCCTTGGTCACACCGAAGATCTCCAATAACTCTATGTTTCTACACCCACCTTCGTGTGCTGGGATGCAGGATGCATACACTATTCTCCCTGTTTCACACAATCAGAATTCAGTTGTTATGAGATCCACACCAGATTAGCTGAACACTTTCCTAAATTCTATGTTCTGTGTCAGGTCAGTATCTGACCAAGATTGTGTATCTTGGTCTTATCAATGGTCATGTCCTATATGATGATTGGTTTTCCAATACCAAATGACAATTCCTTGTCAATCATTAATCTGCAGAATCCAGGAAAGTATAATGATCTTTGGCATACCTCCATTTTTAAATCTTTTGCTTGATGTACCAATTTTGCACCGAATAAAGTAAAACATGTCTGTCTCATTGCTTAATGACTGCCAGGCTGGGTATGAACTACCAGGGATGTTGTTTGTTTGGGATTTTAATTTGGCTTGGAATAATTATTTTACCTGAGGAAACCTGTTTCATATTCCAATTCTTTTGATTATTCATCAAATCAAAGAAATAAGGAAAGACTTGGATCAGGGGGTAATTAGAACTTGAAAATAAACCACTAAGTGAATACTTTGATATTGGAATCATCTAAATCCAGTAATGAAAGTTGTACAGGAAAAATTCATTCTCTTAAACTAACGAAGCTACTTTAACATTTGCTCATATTTCAGACCATTAGTCTTCATGCAAATCACCACCCAAGTTGCATCTTTAGATGTGCTTTTAGAAAGTAGCAGAAAATTTATTAGAGGGGATATATTCACTATACTGGGAAAGAGCTGAGCCTTTTTCCCCATTCACAATTTTGCAAAAACAGAAGTCTTGCTTAATTCTGAATTCTGTGCAGTCTGGTTGGACAGATGGTCACCATAGTCTGCATTCTCTCTTTGATTTGTGCCAAGGTTTTTCTGGACTCTTTGGGACTTGGTGTAATGGACCAGGACCTGTTTGTAACAGGAAAGCATCATCAGCAACATTAACTACCAGTCCACTGGATGAGCACCTCCATCTTAGAGGGTATATACCCTGTATCTGTGGTGCCAAACCTTTCTGGCTTGGGGGCCACATAGTTCACTCCCACAGCCATCTTGTGCAATATGCAGTCACTAGAATTGTTGGAGATTATTTTATGGAAACCTGAGGGCATTTTTTATGGGTTAGGGCCTTACAGGCCCCAAGTTGGGCACCACTGCCCTATATCAACCCCCATGTAGCAGGTAGAGGGGAGGTAAACATTCCCTGATTCTGGTACTTGATGTTCATACCTTCTATGTTGTATCCAGTGACACAGTACCATTTCTCTCCACCAAGATTAATTCCCTGACAGGGAGTTGGCATCAAGTGCTCTTGATTACACATGCCAGTCATGGCAGTCTCTACGCAGGTGTAACATGTCAGTCCATTCACTCCTGCAAAAGAGTATATATTAAGAATGCAAGGGAAAATACATGGCTTAACTCTGAAGTATCAGACTTACTTTCTCCCTGGAGTACGAGTAGCACTACCAAGGAACTGAATATTGAAGACCAGCAATGCATCACAGAAGGAAAACAGGTGAGTCTCTTTCAAGTAGGAAAAAGGGACTGAACTTGATACTGGATGCAATGACATCATCTGTGTGCAGAATCATAAAATGCATCAGCCCTCGTAACTGATAAATCCATATCTCTCGTATTATGCTACCTGTATCGTGATGAGGGGCTATAAAAATAATGTCACTTTGTTTTCTGTTTGAGATTTCAGACCGCCTCAATGCCCCTCTACAACCTCCCATAAAACATTAATCAGAGAAATTTACAAATGATAAAAACCATTTCCATGCATTTTCCTTTCCATAATTTCTATTGATGAAAGTTTGTTGCCCCCTGATGGTGAAAATGAAAGAAATACCATGGCAAAAAGCATAGGCTTTTGTGATGGTTCGACTTGCTTTCCTCACGTATGGAATTCCCCGAACGTCAAGAAGTATGATGTCCCGTACTCCTAATGTAAGGTGTGATGATTGAGAAGTGGATTTTTATGCACTAATAAGCTCTTAAATATGCACATAAATATGTCGAAATATGCACTTTTTTGCACATAAAAATGCTAAAATTTATATGCAGTATGCATAAAAGCAGGGAAAACATGGAAAATTATGCTTTTTATAGTGCAGAATGAAGTCTTTGTAGGAGGGAACTGTAATGTACATTTCATATCAAGTAGCTCCCCTTCCCCCACAGAGTGAGGTAAAGAGGAGCTTGGAGGTAAAATCAGGTACCGGCTTTGTGCAATTCATCTTTTCTTGTTGCACAGCACATGACTGGTAGGAAAATGTCTTTTTTTTTTCCATAGAAAATGAGAGAAATATTCTGAGGAAAAATAAATAAAAAATTTGCATTTCAGGCGTTTTTAACATGGCATCGATTGCTTCCTCTACTATAATAATAATACATGCTCCTATGAGGCTGCAAAAGAATAACTTGACTTGATCTTATCGTCTTGTGGTCTCTTGAAGGGATTTTGTGTAACTGTTCATCTGCTAATATTTATGGTGATTTAACTCATTCTAAGGTGCTTAATATTACACTATATCACATGTTTTCAGAGAGAATAAAGATTTCCTGGATGCTGGTCATTTTTGTTTCATCTTTGCACATGCCCCTATTTTCAAAATGTTACCTTTAGCTTTTGAAACACCCATGTTTGTTGCTAACACTCATTTCAGCAATGAACACCATTTCAGCAATGTCAACACATGGGTTTCTCACTATTTAAGGTATGCTCCATGGAGAGATTCTAGGCATTCTTGGCACGAGTCCACGCGTCCGATCGACTCAACATGCTGGGCTACAAAAGCCTGGGTTGTCTGTGAAATAGTGAAGCTGGAACATTGAAGTTTTGCTATATTTGCTATCTATTGCCTCACAATGCCAGTTGTTCAACTGTTTGACTGACCAACTGAGCTGCTTCAGAAACTGAGTACATTTTGAAATAGATCTACTGTACTAGTTTTAAATCCTTATGCTTATTCTAAAAAGTTGTAACTTACAGATTCCTTGATTGCCAGGCATTATACAATGTATTTCTTAATTTTGAGTTGCCGGTGAGTAATTTAAGATGTGCAAAGGTCTGAGTTTTGGAAAAGTGTTCTCAAAAGATGTGCTATTTCTGTATTGAAAGCTGTATTGTCAAACTTTTCCCACTTGTCATTGACTTTTCTAGTTTTGCATGGAAGACTGAGTTTGCAACAAACTCAAGTCAGGAGCTTCTTGAAGCCTCCTGCAGTCCAGTTCTCCAAATCCCAATATTATAGACCTTTCTTTGATCATCCACGTATCGATCGTTTCTTCTGTCTCCGCTTGATACGCCTGTTAACCATTTTGAATATCTGTTCTCACCAATGGGACTGTTGTGAAATCAACCCATTCAGTGGTCCTTCTTTTCATGTTCTTATTTATCTTCTAACAGATGTGATTTGTCTTCACACATGATCTCATTGATCTAGTCAATCCTGTGATAAGAATGGAATTGGAAGGTTCCAAAATAACTTTGAGGTATGGCATCCAGATTCCTAAAAATATCTGTCTTAAGTCAAATATTTTGCAAAGAAGTAACCACAAACCTTTGCAGGGGGGAGTCCTCGTCGTGGCTGAATGCGTATCACGACCCCCTGGCGTCCTTGTACACGTTCAGCAACTGCATCACCATGGCGGACATTCACGGCGATGGCGAGAACAGACTCATCGTTGCTGACCTTGGCACTGGCACGTATCGCATGAAGCTCAAGGTACTTTGCTGATGTTATAAATAAATAAGCTTTAAAGTGGTGTGGAATTCAACTCAGTCATCAAGGAATTGAGTGAAACATAATTTGGAGTGAGCTTTGTTTACCTGTAGATTATAATTTACTCAATGAAAGACCATGTCCAGTGCTTTCAACCTTCTTTATTGTTACACACTCTTGCTTCAGGTATATAAGGGAACTGCTTTAACAGCTGACCTGACACTCTTGGACCTCCCAACTGCCATTGTGGCCTTTCACATGAACACCAGTGAACCCAAGCTCCCAGGTTTGTTTGCATGCCAACCCTGCACATCAGATGCATCATTCATGTGGCTAAATGGAGCTCAGCAGCTTCTTTTTCCCTCAGCCATTGCAGTTGCATCGGGATCATACATCTACATCTACAAGAACTTGAAGCCGTACTTCAAGTTCACCCTTCCGTCCCTGGATGTTAACTCGACAGAACAAGACCTGTGGTTGGTGTTCACTTTTTTCTGCTTTTGCATGTGGCAATAACATCCTGTTGCTTCGTGTTGATTTGGCTTTTATCATGACATCAGTCGTTCTCCGAAAGTGTAATCTTTGTTGAGTCACCCCCTATTGACTTCTTGGGTGAGAGATTGCAGGTTCTGGGTGGTGTATACCCTCCTCTTTTCATTTTGTATTTTTACTCTTGCATGTGTTTTGATTATCTTTTCATGTTTCTGTTGTTAGGAGCCTTTGAGATTTACATTCACAAAGGTGAAAAATTTCCATTGTGCAGGTATGAGGTAGAGTTAATCCAGAGCAATGATTCATCGTGTTTGCACATTTGCACGGAGTCTGTTTCGTATCCCAGTACTGCCACGACGTGTTCTATCGTTCCTTTACATTCTTTCTTTTTCTTTTGCTTGGTTGATGTGTACTCAGGGAACAGGTGAAGGAGGGGAAGATGACTGCAATGACACTGAGAGAGATGCTGGAAGGACTGAAGCAGGACATCGGGGAGTTGGGACTCACGACCCGATCCCAGCGCCTTCTCATGCTCGACCCAGGGGACATGGCCGAATTTGTCCAGCTTCACGAGAAGCAACCCCTCAAACGCACGGTTTGTTGCTGCTCTCGCTCGCGTGGCATTCGCTAAATCCTGTCGGCTTCCTTGGAATACCATAGACTCTTAAGCATGAATTGCAGAAATTTGCCTCTTTCTTTTTTTTTAAGAGGTCCTTGACCTTTCATCATCAGATGACTGATTTTCCTGAAAGTATTACATCATCCCTGTGATAACCCCTCCCTTTTTCTGATAAGGTATGTTTGTTTAAAAAAATTAATTTTCAAAGATATTATGTAGTCACACGAATCTCCCCCATTCGACATTATCAGATCAGCAAACACCAAGTTTCCGGAAAATAAACACAACATTGTGTGATGAAAACCAGTCTTGAAAACAACTCTGTCACAATGGCTAGAGAGGAAAGCCATGACAAGGCAAGAGACACCAGAAACCATTGTGCATGATGCGAAAAGGCTTCCTACTCACTCTCAGATGACATGAAAAATTTGAAGTTAACAGGGGAGATTTGAGCTAATTCAGAGAAAGTCTGGGCTTATCGCTGATGGTATTGTTGTGGTAAGGGTGGAAAAAGGTTCAAATGTGTGCAGTCTGGGAGGCCCAAGGTGCTGCTGTGTCCTTACATTTAATGCATCTCTCAACTTTCTGGGTTTGCTGATAAGAGTGCTGGGAAAAATGAGAGACCTTTTGTTCTGCTGCAGTATTCTTGATCCTTTTCATTATGAGGCAATGGGTAATGAAGGTGGTGGGACTGGGTTTATGCTGCCAGGCAGGAATTCCCTTTAGGAAGCTTTCTGCAGTTCTTCCGCCATGCAGCTGGATGGCATATGCCAGATTTTTGTGGCCTTAATCAGACCGTATTATCAAAAAATGCTTTTGAGCTTCTCGTGTTTTTCAGTGATGAATCCTCAGTTGAAGGAAGAATGGCCTAGGAGTACTTAGGTGTTTCATTTGCACGTTAATTCTGACATAGCATTAACTACCTTAGATCATGAGAATGATTCAAAGTAGATGACATGTGTGATGGAAGTGTCATCATGGAATCTCAAATTTACATTTGTGCTTTACTTGGCCAAACCAGCTATAACAGATCTTGATTTCAGTCAGCTTCTTTTGTTTCCCGAATATGCTCTTAGGTCCTTTCATGGTAGTGCTTACTTTCTATGCTCCAGATTAATTTTAGTTTATTCTCCATCTGCAGAAAGAGAAAATTTGCTTTGTTATTTTCATGGAAGTGCATGTTTAAAAGGAATAAGTTACTCTGAACCAAGCTTCTGTGCATGTTGAATTGAATCGTTACAGAATGGAAGTTCCGACCAAAGCGGCACTGTGTAATTTGCACGATCGACAAAGTTCATCCGTTGATCATAAATGATTAAAAAAAATACTCAAGCAGTTTTCCAGGGAAAGTTCACAGTTGCTTTTATTCTTCTGCATTTCAATGCAGTGAAATTGGAACCTAGGACAGTTGCAAATACCTCTCACCCATGCTATTGCACTCTGTGAAGCGTGATGACTAAGAGGGAGAAGAGATGAGGAGGCACGAGGAAGGAGGCCCCTTGTCCAAGTGGAGGCATGGTCGATTGCTCCGGAGGTGGAGTGGATTTAATGACCGATGAGGAGGTGGAATTGATGGTGTTGTGGGGGTTGTTGCACAGGTCTTCCTCGCAGAGGCATGCCACGGTTACGCCAAAGATGTCTAATAGCTCTATGTTTTTGCACCCACCCGTTTCCGACGAGATGCAGCCTGCATACACTGTTTTCCCTGCATCACACAATCATGATTCAATAATTAGTTGACATGCACTAGATTCACTTGGGGAGGGGAACGTTGATTGTCTTGTGGTTTTGACTTGGCTTGGAAGAAATTTTCTATATGGAAGCTTGTCTCATTACCTCTTAAAATTTCTCAATTGAAAAGTTAGAGTGAAAAATGCCTGGAGGAGGGATTTTACTTGAACTCAATAATGACCCGACTTTTCCATTGGAATTTTTACCATGCTGGGAAATTGCTGAACCTCGCTGTAAAAAAAAATATTTACCTCCACTAGTTTGCGAACGGACAAAAAGTCTGTTCACGAGTCATTGACTCTGTTCAAAAACCTCTACCAGTTCAGTTTGAATGCCTTCTGGTTCCTTCTCCATTAAAGACAGACCATTAAAAAGCACTTTCTTTTCTTATTTTGACCAATCGTATGTGCATACATATATTTGTACGTTAACCTTTATCGGACAAATGTCGCAACTGAATGCATTTTTCCATGGCCTCAAAGTACAAATGCCGTACCACAACTTTTTAGGGGAAAATGCTCTATTAAAATGCATAATTGCTAAGTTAGCAAGTGTTTATAAGCTCATAGAGAATATCTGACTGTCAGCGCTTACGTGGGAGATTTAAATCCGTCAGATTTAAATCCGTTAAACTGCACCTCGTTTTTTTCCCTTGTGTCTGAAATGGAGACTCAGTTGCAATTATATTAAATGTAAAATCTTGCCAAATTAACTTGAATAATACGGAATCTGTAGAAAAATACATCAAATAACAAGACAGTTAGTATTTTCCTCTACCATGGCAGATGCTGAAGAAATTTAATGAATAGACCATTTGGAATGCACCTCATGTAAACGCCAAGGGCAAATAAGCAGGTATTAGTCATTTCCTGATTTCCTGATCTTGGTTCTTGATGTTCGCGTTCGTACCTGCTTCGTCGTACCCATTAGCACAGAACCAACTTCCGTTGCGTGCAGCATCTTTGCATTCAGTTTTAAACCAGATACCTTCAGGGCACATTTGGGTGACTCCAAGATGGAAGCAGGTGTAACATGTCAGTCCGTTCCCTCCTGCAGATGAATATGATGAAAAATATGAGGAAAAATACGTGACCTCGCTTCCGAGGATGAGTTATAGACATACTTTCTCCAAGGAGTGTGAGTATCAGTCCGAAGGAGCCAGATGCGAAAGACCAGAAGCGCATAACGCAGAAGAGAGATTTCTTGATGACGCGTCTCGAGCGGGAAAGGGAACTGAACTTGACATTGGGTACATTGGCGTCGTTTATTGACGGGGTCGTAAAGTACGGGAGGTACGGAACCGATACGACGTTATCTTTGGCCGTGTTATGTCACGAATATCATGATGAGGGGCCCCATAAAAAAAAATGGCATCATGGATTTCATATTGGAGATATCAGACTAACGTTGCAATGAGACCTCTCAAGTCACGTGACTCGAAGCACACGATAACATAAATGGGTCCAATTCACTTTCCCAAATCTCTACGGATGACAACTCCTTGGAAGGAAAGCGCATGCTGTTGCAAAAACTCTGCATTCTTTCTTCACGAAAGTCCAAGCGCAATTAATTAAAAAGCGTATGATGTCATGCATTCTTCGCCAAATTGAATGACCCCTGAACTAGTGTGGAAATTGGCTGATAACTGGCTTTGGCTGATAGCCAAAATTTCATTAAGTAGCTGTAGAAATTTTGGGGTTTGGTCATTTTCGCTTCATATTTCCCATTGGTCATGCATTTGCCATGGGATTCCTGACTTTAAGTCAATTTACCTTCTTTTTGGGGGAACTACCTTCGTATTGAGTTTAAATATTTTTTTTTTACTTTTGGTTTTATTCATAAATTTTTATTTTTTTTATTAAGAAAGTCTATAGGCCTTCAGCTTGAAAACCACTAAGTTGAAATTCTTCTCGAAGGAAGTTGAAAAGTTTTTTTTCTGAGTTATTTGTTCATTTGTAACAGAATCGACATGGGACCACCGACTGAAAATTTGTTTCCACTTTTTTTTATTTATCGGTTACCTGAGCACATTGATAATAATAAAAATGCTATAATGGATATGGGACAAAAAAAAATGAAAAACCTTTCAGGAATGAATGTGCATGAATGCTGAAACACAAAATACTCATCTAGACACATTTCGGCAATCGCTGTCCGCAGACGGTCGTGACGTGCATGGAGACGCTGAAGAAGAGCCACCCGGATCCGGGCTCCGTGTCGTGCCTCGTCCTGGGCACCGAGAGCTCCCACGTCTACATCCTGGATCCCGATGCGTTCACCATCCTTGCCTGTGTCAGTCGTCTTTCTTTTTGTCATCCGAGGAGAGGCAAAGCCGTTGGGGTTTTACTCTTCAGAAGCAACTTACTTCTGGACCGTCTTTTTTGCTGGGAGAACTCCACTGGACTGGAAATAAGACATTACTCTCTTGTTCTTTTCCATTCAATAACTTATTATATATCTGTCAATACAGTGGGTGCCAATTAAAGATGTAAATATATTCAATAGCGGTAAGAGGCTAATAATTAGCATTGATCAATGAAAATTCCAAATTCAGTTATTACCGAATTGCCTTCATCAGAGGAAGTAGTTACCTGGATGTAGGCAGCGGATATCAGGCCTTCGATTTTCTTCTCCAAGTGGAAGCACAGAATTTAGTATTCATTTTGGCCCTTTTCCCTCTCTGCGTGATTCGATAAATGCGGAGATGGAGTCGATATCGCGATATCGAGTGTCAGCAATATCAGGAATGGCTAGTGCCAGCAGGAGGAAAGTATTCTTGGAATAGGGGATTTGGTTTTCGCTATTTTAAGAATTTATCTCATTATCTAGCTGGCAAAAGTAAAACAATGACTACAATAGTCAGTGCAGAATGTAGTATTCTTATTTCATTCGTCTCACCTAATGATTTTGGAATGGAAAGGATTTTTTTCCTTGCATTATATTACATTCTTCATTAAGAATACATCCGAGTGAATGCCAGATATTCTTTTCCAGAACCACATCCTGCTTTTTTAATGGATTTTTTGAGCATTCATGGGGTAACCCTCATCAGTCGATAAAGTGAGACAAGTCAAATAATTCTTAATTATGAAGTTAGATTTTGAGCAAAAAAATTATTCTTTATCCTCTTGAATTTAATGATGATGTAATGAAAAAATAATTATTAATTTAGAATTTTGTTCAAATAATTCTAATAAGGAAATCCAGCTCATGTAACAAAAAAAAAGTATACATCTCTTTGTTTCGCTCTGAAAGGTAATGAGACTACTTATTCAATTGCAAATGGGAATTTTCTTATTCCATTGGAATTGCTGAATACGTTGCCAGGAATAATGCAAGCTGAGGTTAAGCGTCCACCCGTCTTGTCGTTTCTATAAAATACCGGACCGATACTTGAAAGAATACGGCATGTCGATTGGAATGCTATACCGGTCGTGTAGGTGGCGGTGGGAGACATCCCCGTGCACCTGGCCGTGTCGGGTCTGTACGACGTGGACTTCCGCGTCCTGGTGTCCACGAGGGGAGGGGGGATCTACGACGTCCGCCGGGGAAGCGAGGAAGGGAGGCAGGTCCTCTTCCTGCCGGCGCTGCCGGTCTCGATGCATCTGTTCGGGAAGACGATCGCGGTGGCCGGCTCAGACGGGATGCTGCGTTCGTACACGACGCAGGGGAGGCTGGAGTGGGACGCGGCGGTCGGGGGGACCGTCCTGTGCTCGGAGCTGCTGGAGGTCTCGCACCTGGGGCTCACGCTGTGGGCGGTGGGGCTGGCGAGCGGGGCGGTGAAGGTGTTTCGAGAGAAGGAGATGGTCGATTCCTTTCGCTGTCCCGATGGGGTTGCTGCCATGAGGTTCGGACGCTTTGGGAGAGAGGATAACACCCTCGTCGTCGTGCTTTCGAGTCGGTGGTCGAGTTTCTCTCTCTCTCTCTCTCTCT